TTAGTACCCTCCTTAATACTTGAACGGCACACAACATACTATGCACAGTTCTGACAAGTCTATTTTTATTCATTTGCTTGTGTATCGCAGATCTTCCTCTTCTGAGTGAAGAGACGGCTGAAGGTGACGATCATGATCTTGCTGAACCTGAAGTTGAAGAGGAAAATAACGAGGGAAACAATTCAGGTTTAGGGGCAAACCAAGAGGATATTTCTACCGTTGTAGGCGAATCTGGTAAGTTGTAAAGTTGTTGCAGTCTTCTTTTATATCTTTTATGAGCTTTGAGCAATCTATCAGTGGTAAATTTTGCGAAAACTGAAGAAAATAGAGAAGTCACAGTAACTTGAGCGCGACACCATTACGCGATGGGACAAACGTGGCTTAATTGACATTGTCACTCTTGAACTGAAAATTTAAACCACAAAAACTTTGACTGATTCCTATCTATCTGGAGAATTAACTGATTTTTTTTAAGAAGAAAGATTTAAATAAAGCAGAAAAACAAAAACCTTATTAAATAATTAATTAATGAATAATAATAAATAAGTAATTTATTAATTAAAACTAATATATACTAACTTACATTTATATTTACTTTAATTCTTACACTATTTTTATATTAATTAAAATTTATTTCTTCCCCATCTTAATTTCCCTTTTCATGTCATTTTCTCCCTTTTAATCCCCGCTCTGTGAGGCCTTGGTTGTGGCCCATCTGCAGAGAGCCCCTCTGAAAGCCCTCTCTTTTTTCGAGAGATTTTAAACCGATGTAGTATATAATAAAAATATAATAAACAGCCAAAGAAGGGCGCCTAATGAAAGGGTTGCGACAGGGGGTCTTAGAGGAACTCAACTCCCGGAAGGGCTTTGGGAGAATAGGGGACTTTGGCGGCTGGGTGTCGCAGAGCACCAAAGAGCCTATGAAAGCGGCTATAATGTATGTAACAGCCAAACTGTCAAAGTATCCGCACCATCAGACGTTTTGCGATTTGTATGCTTTCGGCGGCATTGCAAAGAAAAGAAAACGCCGCGCCATTACTTTGGCACCCCTAGCATTCATTGAGAAGTTAGGATTTTATGATAACTGTGCACACTGGTGCGATGATTTTTGGTCGATAATGTAAACTGCATTTTACTGTACCTGGCAACGGCGGTTTATTCTGTTGAAATTTAGAGTCAAATGTAAATAGCCTAGTTGCTGGTTGTCGTAATAAATTAACTAACCAACTAACTGTTTTTCTCGGAATTTGATATACTCATGAAAATTCTTGTTGGATTCAGCACTTTGTGAAGGAGTAAAATGTATACATATATTTTGTATGTTGTTCAGGTGCTGTGGACGAACACAAAGTTTCTTGCAGCGGCAGTAATTACTCGGACGAAGAGAGTGACAAAGAAGCACTGAGCCGAGCCAAAAAAAGTAAATACTTCTTTGTACCAATTATCGTTCATACCAATCATGAAAATGCATACTTTTCCCGGTGTACATTTTTTAAACAATCTGAAGAATTGAGATCATTACATTAACGGGGTGTCTCGGTACTAGTTTTTTAGATTAATGGACAATGCAAATATATGCGAGCATGGGATAAGTGTGCCACTGATTTTGTAGACTTCAACAGCGTTGTGTCACACCTAAACTTCTGATTGATCAGTGCACCGGGGAAGCATGTGAATGATCGTATTCAAATACATCTTAAGTCAACGCATCAATACGGCCAGCCTGCCGGCTGATGGTCGAGGATGCGCGAAAACCACAGAGCAAGGCCTTCTTCTGCAGTTTCCTCCAAAACAGGGTGGGCTCTAACTTGCAGGATCTGCCAACCAGTTTGGCCTCGATGAATAACTCTGTATCCCCGATAGTGAGTTGCAAATCATTTTGAAAACTTGTTTTTCACTCGCTATCAACCGCTTAAAGTGTCTGATTCTTACTTTATATTTCTTTGAGTAAATTTTTTGTGTTTAATTTTTTTTTTTTTTTCTTTTTTTTTCATGGCTTCATGGAAAATTTATAATTTATTCCTCTTGTACTGATACATGAAAGTGTTCTTGTGTACTCACGTAATGTTTACTTTTGCTCTTTGTCAGATCAGCCCAATACAAGGAATTCCCGCAGAGGAAAGAAGACACATAAGTCTAAGAATTTATCCGTTGAGAAAAGAAAAGGTACCTTGAATAAACTTCTACACACTATCATCTATCTGCATGAAGGAAACGATCGTTTCCGGCGTGCAGCGTATCCAACAAAAATTGGCAATCCAGTCCCCAACGCTTATCATATTTCTGATCGGATGCTAGTGGATGATCAGATAGCCAGTTCTCGTGAATACACTGCACGCCAAATGACGACATCATCGACAACCGTTTTTTCATTGCATTCTAGTAACCCAAAAAATTACCATCGTAGAAAAATCAGAGTCTGGTCGTTCACGAACTGATGTATTTAATTTAAATGCGAAACCATTTTCCTTGGAGTTTTTAAACCGATATATGTTTATTTTCTTTTAATTAGTTTTAATTAATTAATTTAAATTTTAATTTTTATATTTTATAATCATTTTCTTTTGCCAACTGTGGCCCCTTTCATAAGCGAGACGATAAGCTGTTCGACTGATGAGCTTAATACCTCATCCATCCTCCATCAGGGAAGTTTATATTGAGTTAGGTCAGTTGCGCATGTTTCAGAATTGTATTTTGATCGTTTTAACTTTAGGTGTAACTACACGGGGAAAAAAACTTCGCGCGTGGGACCCCAAGTTGAAGTTGAGGTCATATGGATCTCTGAGGTTTTCGGATCGCACATCCAAAAACTAGAGGTCCAGCTGCCGAAGTTTGGTTCAAACATCGGAAATATTTCGATACATACCGAAGGGTTCGGGTCACAAATCTGAAGCACCTCAGTATATATCGAAATATTTCAGATGATTGACCCGAACTTCGGCAGCTCGACCTCAAGTTTTCGGATGTCGATCCAAAAACTTCAGAGCTCCATATGACCTCAACTTCGGGTCCCACGCACGATTTTTTTTTCTCCGTGTAGAAATGATGAAGTCTGTCCAAGCGCCAAGTTTCTTATCGCCCGACGAAAACCATGATGATAAAAAATCAGGCGGAAAAAATACACTTATTTTTGCCCCTTTGGAGAATTAACTTTTTTTCTTCTTTTTCTTTTTTCCCCTTTTTTCTTAAAGGCAAGGATAAACAACCGGTAGCGAATTTGACGGATGAATCATCTGATGAAGAACCTGCAGCAAATGAAAAAAGAGGTACGATAGTATTCAAACGATCAAGAGTGCTTTCTAATTCTTATATTATCGTCATCTTACTATCTTACTATATTATAAAATCGTAAGCCCTAAAATTGTGAGGATCTGGTCCGCGCTGTCCTTGAAGTTACCGTTAGAGCGAGAGTATGGAAGTTTAACGGAGATGTGAAACTTTATGTTTTGTCATGCGGCTCGATCTCCTTTTTTTCCGAATTTTCCATTTTTAGCCGAGTTATCGCGAAAAATCTAAAAAATTAACCATGTGTATGTCACGGTGTACAGATCATACCATTGAAATCTCAGCATAGATCTTTCTACCCATTGAAATCTCAGCATAGATCTTTCTACCCATTGATGGAGCCTAATACGCACACGTGCACGTCGAAGCCCGATTTTTGAAATTTTCATCCAGAAGAGAGTAATTGCCTTTTTTCCAAATTCGCGACACTAGGGCAGAACTGGGGGTTGTCAGATTGCGCAGAAATAGCACGGATTTCTTTGAAAGACAAATGAACGTCTTCGATATTTTTTGGGATAGACGGCAGCGTCCTTACACGCTCATAAATCTCTCCCGAGACGAGCCTTAAATGCGAGTGACCGCGTGGAGGGATGAAAGGAGCGGGCGGGGAAGTGCCCATCCAAATGTGTTCTTTTGTTTCCGTGTCCATCTCCTCAAACCAAACATCTTCCGATTTGAGTATCTGGACTACTTTAAATGAAAAAAGGAAAAAGGAATATCTCCACCGTGACCTGGCCCCTGAGACGCAAAAGCAGACATAACGACAAGGTTCATATCCAAATATGAATTGTACTTTATATATTAAAAGTCGGCAGTTTGCGACAGGAATCAAATGAGGCTTCTTTATATACATTATACTGCGGTTACGAGTGAGTACGTGAATACGAAGCTTCATATTTAAACGTTCATTGATGAAGAGGGGTGAATGAATTGTAAGATAGAGATCCATTGCATTAAAAAGAATTGAATAATTCCCGCGTTTCTGCGAAAGTGCGTTTTTCTCGCAACAAACCAAAATAAGTTTCATGCAGAAAGAACACTTGGTTGCTTGGTTTGTGACGTTACTACCGGAAAATATTTCTTGCTTTCTTTTTACTGTTTTCATTCCTCTCAAGTAAATAAAGAAATCAGTGACAATGCGGCGCTCAGCGCCGCTTGGAAGCGCTCAGCGCCTCTTGGGTGTTGGGTCGCGGAGCGGCCACGGGGCGTAGTCCCCTATTATTCCATAAAAACGCACATGAAGTGAATTCGTTTCTTACAGTGTGTATTAAGGAATGCGCTCATCTCTAATTCCCTAATTGTAATTGAAAGACCGTTGCCTAAAAAATCGATAATTTTTCTACTTCCTACCTAAAAACGTAGTCCATACATCTATGTTCATAATTGGACGTATTTCTACCAAACAGATCTGCGTGAAGGTGGGAAAAATAGGGTTCGCTCGTTAGTTCTCAGGCGGTAAGAATGAATGGGACTTATGAAGCGCCAGTGACGTCAGCGTTGACGACGGGGTAGCGGGGATCGAATTTGACACTCTTTAACTCATGAGCCCTGTCCACAAGGCTCTTCTGCATTGACCTCGGTTCATGAGTCCCGCATACAGCTAGCACATAGTTCCGTTTGCTGAATTTAAAATCCCGCTTTTCCATTCCTCCAAAGGGAATCACGCCCACTTTTACATTGCTTCTTATCCAGCTTTTTAGAGCACACCCCATCTTTCCCACCCGCACTTAGTTCTGTTCGGTAGAAATACGTCCAAATAAGGAAAGGAAAAATCAGAACTACAACTACTCCTTTCAACTGGCTCTCTTTGTTTGAAGAGAGAACTATTCCGAGCTATACTGTCTACGCTATTACGTTATTTCATATGCTATATCAGATTTCATGATGTAGCGAGTTATCTATACCTATCCCAATTTTTCAATAAATTGTTATGGCCTACGATAAGTGATCCCTGTATTTTCATAACGCTTAGCTATACAAATTCAGAAGGCAAGCCCATAAACTTGAATTACACTCCTTCCTATTTAACCTAAACATTTTAAAATCTAATTTTGGTTTATTTTGTCTTAGGTACCAAGAGGCAGTATCAACAAAAACACGTTCGCTGGACGGAGGAAGAGAAAATGCTGTTATTCTCTTTCTTCAAAAGAGAGCTCCGCAGGGGAGATCTACTGAAAAAAGCAAGGATAGATGAGTTTATCGAGACGCATCCACAAATGTCCAAGCGACCGTGGAAAAATATCAAATTTTACTATAAATTCCAGCTGATGAAAATCAAAAAGATTGCGGCAGAATCCAAGATCGCTACGGCCAGTATTAAAGATTACGCCTCTTTTGCAAAAATGCATAAATTGTGAATTGTCTCTCATAAAATTATTAAAAATTCGGTTTTTAAATTTATTTCCTTCTCATTGCAATGAGACATCGTGTCATCAGAGCTTCATTCCTTGACATTCCTTGGGCCAACAGCTTGCTTTTTATATGGCCGCTTGTAGGTAAAACGCCCATAGGTACCGCAGAAGCGTGTTTCATAGGTAAAATACAACTTCTTTGTTCTTCGATAGAGTTTTTTTCCTAAGGTGTAGCTCCTCGATATTATATGAGGAATCTTTTTTTCTTCTTAATTTTAGCGGCAGCTATTGATCTAAACCCATAGATAATGGTTATTACTTGAATTTTGGGGCTGAATTCATATAGGGCATAAAGAGCATAGACATCCCAAGCCAGGAGTTTACGTGGTCTTGAATCTTTAAGGAGGAGGAACTTCGTTTTTCGGCCATTTACAGGCAAATTTCTTAAAAGTTTTGGAAGGTTAAATAGTCGAAGTCCATTTTTCGACATTTCTTACGCCCAATGCAACGGTGCCCTGAGTTACAGCACATTCATCGGCTAAAACACATTTTTTTTACATTTAAAAGCTCAAAACTTCCTGAATCCCTTCGAAAACATCCGTTACCTGTTTATTTAAATGTTTTGATGTTTTTGAGGCCATGGATGAATTTAATGGTAATCTTTATTGGTGGTATCCATTTTCCATGAGTTTTGTTCCACAACAGCCGCCAAACTTTTCGGGGGGCCCGAACTTTTTTTTTCAAATGGCAACCCCTATCTAGTGATACCTCATTCGAAAGAGCATAAAAAACTAAGAATTTTGGCGGAAACCGCAGATCTATATCTTAATTTTTGACCGAGTTATGATATGTCAAAGGTCAATTTTGACCTATTTTCGAAAAATCATAACTCCAGTACAATTTATCGTAGAATAAAAAAAAAAGCGGGAGAATTCACCAAATTGTAAGCACTTTTAAGAAAAAACTACACGAATCGCCTCAAACTAATTTTAAGGGGAGTTTCGGACCCCCTAATACGTCTATTTAAAAGTCTGAAACCCGGGAGGTCCGAAACCCCCCTTAAAATTACTTTGTGGTGATTCATGTACTATTTTCTTAATTGCTTACAATTTGATGAACTTTCCCGGTTTTTTTTCTACGATGACTTGAACTGGATTATGATTTTTTGAAAATAGGTCAAATTTGACTTTTGACCTATCATAACTCTGTCAAAAATTAAAACATTGATCTGCGGTTTGCGCCAAAACTCTTAGTATTTTATGCTCTTCGGAATGAGGTATCACAAGATAGGGGTTGCCATTTGAAAAAAAAAGTTCGGGCCCCCCCCCCCC